TACAATAGTATTCTCCAAATTCGCTGCATTAAAGATTGATGAAGGCATTCACTTTTGCTTTATATTCATTTAACAGCCTCACTGCAGAACACTTAAAAACAGCAGTTGCTACTGCACACTTGGCAACCTGGCCAGACTCGAAGTGAGGCCACCTTGCATAATAAAGGATGGTATCCTTTGGTGTTTCTAAAGTTTACATGGCATTAAATTACACTTCCCAAGCCACAGTGGGGAAGCCACCCTTGCAGCATCATGGAGGAGCAGCAGCTTCTCAGCAAGCTCCAGAAACTACCAGGACTGCAGGAGTTTCTTTTCCTCCTGTAGGAATCGTTTCCAACCTAAAGAGAGCCACGACTGAGATGGAGCAGGAGAGCCTTACAACTCTTCAGAAGAATGATACTTTTTTCTTTAGCAAAATGGGTAACAATTGAAAATAAAGGTGGTCAAGAGCAAGCAAGTATCTAAGGCACACAGTAATTACAAGGAAAGAACAGACTGCCGTTGTCCAAACAGCCAGCTGACGCTTCTCAAAAACAGTTCCCAGTTTTCTTTTTTGTAATAATACTGTTAAAAAAAAAGGCTTGTTTTCTTGTTCTGAAGATATCCATCAGTTGTGACATGTTTTATAATCCTGGCATAAGAAAACAAAACAGGCTCCCAGGAGAGCTGCAATTACACAGTGTCAGAAAGCTACCTGAAGTCACTCACAGCACTAGCTTTAGACAGAACTTTCCAAGAAACAATCACAGATATTTAACAGACAGACAACACCACTCAGCATCAAACTACTTTCAATCTCCTAAAATCCTCTTAGACAGAACATTCAGACTGGAGCCTCGTGCCTGAAGGCACAGATTCCTGCACAAACTTTACTCACTTACTTGCTGTTATCTGCAGATGCTGACCATAAGGATGCCATTACATTAACACTTACAGAGCGATTTCTGAAGAATGTTTTAACAATCCCTCTCAGAAAGAACCACGTAGGCATAATAAGCCTCTGCTCAAAATTAACACATTGTGGAGCACCTGCTAAGCAACGTTGTAGCAAAAATAACCTAGAGCATGTGTAAGAAAAAGAGAGCCTTATGTTCAAGACCGACCCATTACACTATGAGAAAGGTTGAACGCTTTAGTTAATGGGTCAGATTTCACTGGTGTGCAGTGGAGAAAACAGGTTTAAAAGACACCGTATTTCTCCACTCCTTCATAGCAGAGCTCTCCAAATGGTTCTTCCCCCCACAGTGGGCAGAAACAAAGCTACCATCATTAAACTCTCAGTCTTTAAAGTGACTAAGGCAATGGAGCAATTGCCTAGAACTACCTGCAACACATTTAGCACAAAAGGGACAGGACAGAGAAGCATTTATATCCTAAGCACTCTGTGCAACTCCCTTCAGCTTGTAAGCTTCAGCAAAAGGTAAGAGTTCGATGGCATGTGGCAAAACAGTAAGAAGGAGGAAAACAGTAGATTTCTCAGAGAAATCTTAAAACAGTAGATTTTTGAGAGAAGCATCAGACACTTAGAGACTCTTTCATTGTCCTATGCACCATTTAATCAGAAAACACACCACAAAAATTCAGTTAAATTCCGTTATATTAAAAACAGGGCAAATCAAGAATCTTCTCTTTCCTACACGTAAGGCAAAGCTGCAGAAGTGGAAGAGTGGTATTGGTGCAGACTCAGTGTCATTAAGAAGCTTAAGACAATAACTTGAAAAAAAAACCCAACTGTTCAGCTACCTCTGGAGCATCGATGTCTTGCACTGGTGAGTCACCATCATCATCGCTGCCTTTCCTCTTTCTTCTATTTCTCACACTCTGAATTAGATTTTTGTGGAAGTCACAAATGTACAGATGTCTTGCCTACAAGAATAAAACGGTATCTTTCAATTAAACCCACGTAGTGTATCTCCCAGACTGAAGTGCACGTAGACAGACAACCCTTAAGCACTCACAGCCACATTAACTGGGCTGAGGGAGCTTTTCCACTGGTTTATTGTAAATGGAGAGCGAGCTGCGCTGCGGCTCCCCGCCACCGGCTGGGCCCCGAGCTCGCTGAAATGCTGCAATGGGCCGATGCAGCAGTGCCAGGCTGTGGAGCCACGCAGCACAGCCCTCCCTCCTTCCCTCCCTCCGGCCGCGCATCGCACCGCGGGGGCCGGGCGGCACGCTAACAAAAAACAAGCTCGCAGCTTTCTCTGCGGGGCTAAGAGACGGCTCTCGTTTCCCCAGCTATATCCTCCCCTCCTTGTTTTACTTCCGCTACCCGGCACGGTCACGCAACACACTTATTTTTACTTTCTTTCTTTTTAACAAGTTTCCCACTCGTGGGGCTCTGCACGCTTTGGGAGATCCGGGCGCTGCCAGCCCGGAACGCCCCGGTCCGCGTGCTTTCAGGGCGAACGGGAGCGCGGGGCAGCGTGGGGCACCGGGCTGCAGCGTGGGGCACCGGGCCGGGTCTCTCGGGGCGCACGCAGCCCCGGCCCGGGGCGCTCCCGCCGGCAGCTCCACGCTGCAGCCCGTCTCGCCCTTCCGCGGCACCCGGCGAGGCGGGCGCTCTCCGGGCTCCCGGGCGAAGCACCGCGCTGGAAGGCGGCCGGCCCCGGCCCGGCCCGGCCCGGCCGCGCGGGGCCCGATGGCTGCCGAGCGGGAGATAAAGCGGCACCGGAGACGTGCGGCGCTGCAACACGAGGCGGGGCGGCGAGCGCGGCCCTCGCCAGCAACACAAACTAGCGCGCCGGGAGCCATGCAGGCTCCGCTCCGCTCCGGCGGGCAGCGGCGCTTCCCGGCCACGCTTACCCCCGGCTCCGGCTACAGGGGGGCACACGCAGTCGATGCCCAGGCTCTTGGGGTACAGGGGACCCCAGGAGCAGGCAGGAAAGGCGGGCGCTGCCCCCCGCCCGGAGGGACTTTCAGGCAGCGCTCCTGCCGCGCCAGCCCAACTCGGCCGTGCTACGGAAAAAGAGATGGGAAGGGGGAACGAACGCTTCCCCGCCGCCACGCTCCCCTCCTTCCCCACCAAACTTGAGGAAAAGTCCCCCAGCCAGCTAAGACACAGATGCGGCGACCTACCGGCCGCTTTTGTCCGCCCGCCCCGCCGGCAGCCCTGGCGCGTCCTCCCCTCGCGGACTTACGCTCTTGTCCAGCTCGATCTTCACCTTCTTCTGTGAAATGCTCTTCTGGATGCGCTTGCTGAAGCTGGCGTTGCCGGCGGCGCGGCCGCATCGCTCCCCCTCCTCCCGCAGGCAGCACAGCTGCCCGGCCCCGGGGCCGCCCGCGCACCCGCCGCCCGCCGAGCCCGCGGCGGCGGCGGCCGGACCCAGCCCCGGCGGCGCCGGCGGCGGCGGCACCTCCACGGCGGAGCCCGCAGCGCCCACCACCGCCGCGGCGGCGGGGTCTGCCCCGCGCTGGGTCACCTCCTCGGGGGCGAAGCCGTTCATGCCCGGCGCCACCGCCGCCGCCGGCGGGATCCCGCCCCGCACCAAACTTCCCCGGCGAGGCGCCGCGGCCCGGCGGGGGGCTCCCCCGCTCCCTGCCCGCCTCCCTTCGGCGGCGGCACCGGGGCGCAAGTCCGCCCTCGAGGGCGGTCAGCCCACGCGTCGCGGGAAGGACTCTCCCTGCCAGCAGCCGCCAGCCGAGCACCGCGACTACCGGAGCAGCGGCGGCAGAGCCCCGCGGGCCGCCCCACTTCCTCCTTCCCCCCCTGTCATGTGGAGACTCTTCAGCTGTTTCCTATGTAACAACAGCAACCTGCCGCCCCGCCCCGCCCGCCCGCCGCGCATGCCGGCTGCCGCGCGCGGCCCCACGGGAAGCGCAGTTCCTGCCCGGCCGCCGCCGCACCGCGCGGCGGGAGCGCGGCCGAGGCAGCGGCGGGGGCAGCATTCGCTGCCGCAGCCGCTTCTTTTTCCCGCGCCGCGCTCCGCTGCCTTTTCATCCCGTCTGCAGGCTGGGCCCGCTGCAAAGCCCCGTGCGTCAGTCTCTCTTTTTCCCCCTTCCCGCGCCTCCCCGGCGGCTCCGCCGTGGGATGTGGAAGGGCGGCCGCGGAGAGTGTCACGGGTCGGAGCTGCCGCCGGCACGACTGAGCTCGTACCCGCGCTCCTACCGACGCGGGCCCGGTGGCCTCCGCCGCCGGCTCGCTGTGCCGCAGCGGCTCCCCCCGTTCACTTGCTCTCGCTCTAGTGTTCTAGCCGAAGCCGGCACTGCTCCGGCTGTTGGTTCCGGATTGTCTGTCTCGTGCCTTCCCTCTCGACATTTCTGCCCTGCCTCGCTTCCTACTTTCCGCCTACTGTCGGCTACGGCTGGCAGCGGCTCCCGGAGAGGGCGGGCGGGCTCTGTCCGAGCGCTCCTGCCCCTCCGCCTGCGGGAGGCAGCTCCCCGGGAGCCGCCGCGCAGCCGCTGGCTCTGCGGCTCTCAGCAGAAAACAAACGGAGCTCCGGCCTTTGTTAGGGCTGATCTTACAACACACGTAGTCAGGGCTCCGTCCTGCGTTCCTGTAGCAAAGCCTTTTGAAGACAAAGGCGACGTACAGTGCGAGTTTCTAGTTTTGTCATTTAAAAAGACATTTTGTTAGTAAAGGTGACTGTAGCAACAGGAAAGCCTTGAGAATGCAGAATTATTTTCGCTAATGATGAACCAAGACCTTGCTGTGCACACGGCTGGGTAAAATAGACACTCTGTGAATACTTGACAAAAGCAGGTATTTTTAGTTTTGAGGCTTTACAAAGCTACACAAGAGATGCGTTGGCATTAAATCATTTAACAATTCAGCTGTTGACAGCAGAGTGGCAAAAGCAGCAAGCTCTGATCTACTGTCTTTTCAAGCACATTCAAAGGAGGCACAAGGAAGGGAGAGGTTTTGCTTTCCCTTTGAACTACCGCAGATATTCCTTTAAATCTCAGAAACGGCATTTGAGCTGAGCGTGCTCAAAGCGCAATGATTTAATCACTGAAATATTTGACCGTATCGCTTGCTGTGCGTTTCCAGCTTGAAGGAGTAGCAGGGAGGCTGGTGAATAATTCAAGGAGACACAGATCCTGCGTAAGTCAAAGTTCTGCGTGAGCCGAGAACGCGATTATAGAGCAGTTTCAGTTTGTGCTGCAGATGGCTCCTTAATCTGATTGCGTAACCGGGTATTAGAGAATAAGGGCTGGTCCCACTGTCGCAACCGAATGAAGGATACAGAAACTGAAGCTACCCTGAGCACAGGCACAGCAGCTCTCCGAGGCACGTTTCGGTGATTAGCGAGGTTCGGAATAGGAGGAGAGTTGGAAAAAATACTGAACTCTGCTTTGTTATCAGCCAAGCTGAAGACTAGGTTTAATTCCATGCTCTGCTGCTGAACAATCTCAGGCAGCAAAGGTTTGACTCACTTTTTTAGTTTCTTGTGATTTCAAACTTTTGAAATCTGTAGTAATATTAAGATAAAAAAGAACAAAACCCCCAATATCATAGCAGAAGCTAAAATCTGGGAAAAGTGGGACAAAGGTGAGTTCCAGGAATTCTTCAGTGAAAATCTGGGTCATGAATAGCAATTTCTAGACTCTTGGACTATGTCTTCTGAGGTCCCTTTTTATTTATTTATTTATTTGTTTGTTTTTAAAATTTCAGATGGATTTGACCTTACTATGAGCATAAAATATTATGACTGGCTCTGGCTGCTGTTGTTTGGTTTGATGGAAAGATCACGTGTGCATTTTAAATGTTTCTGATCCTCTTTGAGCAGTTAAAAGCCTGACTATGTTACCCAGACGTGCTTGCCAAGATGCTAATTTATAAGCGTAATTTCGAGTAAAGTAGTACCATAGTTTCATGATTAGGTCATGATAAGAGAGTCGTGGGACTTAGAAAGATGGTTCTGTTTCTGCTGTAAGCTGCTCGTTTTCGCACCTGTGCCCTGTGCCTCTTTGTGCCCATAAAAATATTGCTGTGGCTGCACAGCAAACTGTATTGGGTTACAACTAAGCTAGCAACAAGAAAAATTGTTTAGATTTAATCCTGACCTGTTTTACCACTCAGTTGCAAGATGCCCCAGCACCCGGGATGGTGCAGTAGAAGGGCAGCACTCTGACAGGGGATGACCACCTCATTTGGTATGAACGCCTGCTTACAGTAACAAAGAAATCATGTCACTTTTAATCTTGCATCACACGTGGGATGAAAAATACAAAGAACTGCAGCTACATGGGTTTATCAGAAAGTATGAAGCTTACTACAAAACAGATTTACAAACTTTCATGAAGCTTGGGATACATTAAATAAAAAGCAAAATCATTGTGGAGTATGTTGTCTAAAATTTAAGTTTTTTAATACAAACTCTAGTACTGGGTACTAAATAAAGCATGTATGGGGACATATTTTAAATAAGCATAAAAACATGCAGGATTGCAACCATATACTGATTAAACTTCAAAAATTAAAACAGTTCAAAGGAAACAGCAGCTCCAAACCAACTGCCCTGTACATGATGTGTCACTAGTACTTGCAGCAGAGCTGAGTAGTACAGAAGGTAGCAGTAATCTATATCCCTTGGGCCTACCAAGAACACAGCATGGATGACTTGTGACATGCAGAAAGAACAGGAGCTACAGCATCCCAAAAAGTCTGAATTCACAGCTCCCAGGCTCTGAAGTCAGCAGGACTCAGTGGCCCCTCCTGGCACTGAGGCAGGCCAAGCACATCTTTCTAAGTGGTGGAAGCCCAGCAGCTTGTTCTTCTCTGAGATGCCATATGTCCCAGCTCCTGTTAGCTTTTGACTGATGTGTTTTGTAATTTGAGAGAGAAGAATGATAATCAGATACATCACCTTGGATATATTGAAAGCACATTGCAAATTACTAGTAATTGCATTACTAGTAATCAATCCTGGAAGATAAATGTTGCTCTTGCCACTTTGTATGCATTTCCATGGCATAAAGTTCAGCTGGGGAGGATGATTCTCTTCCCCAGCAGGTACCTTTCACTTGAAGTCCAAGAGTACATTAGTGCACTTGTGTTCAGCACCTGAAATTATCCTCTTAGCAAAAGGAATAATAAGGAAAACTATTGGTAGGCATTTTTTCTCAGCAAATACACATTTTATTTGTTATATATTGTAACTACTTCAGTGAAAAAAAATTCTTTTAAAACATTTGAAAAATTCTGCAAATTCCACCACTCACTCTGGTCATTTTAATAAAAAAGCAACCTAATCTATAAGCAAGCATTCATGGGCTGTGATATAAAGAACAGTGGCCAAATCTTCCTTACCAGAAATAAGTGCTATTAATTTTATCTTTCCTTTTACTTTTTTCTGATTTTTTTAATACCTCATTTTCCTTTCCCACTCCAGCACCACCTAACCTCCTACTGCTTGTTGCTCTGCTTCCAATTTATTGTCCAAATTTGTTAAAGCATAGACCCAAAGCTTAGGAATATTGGAACTTGCCTACAGTTTTTTTTTTTTTTTTTACTTTATATGTTTTAGGCTAGGATAGTTAAAATACAAATTCAGATAATTAATTTTATAACAAAACCTAATCTGTTTTAGTAATACACATAGACCTTATTTTATATGGTTCAAGAAGTGCAGTAATAAAAAAAAAAAAAAATCATAACTTTAACCAGAATTATCTCCAGGTCTGAACTGAGTTGAAGCCAGTCTTTCTTTTATAAGCATTTGGCCTTGTACACTGAAAACTCAAGCTGTATAAAAGAATATATATAACAAAGGCTTTTATTAAAAGATTTTAAGCAGTAAAGAAGGTCCAAAACTACACATTTTAAGAATAATTTAGGATTTAAAGTGAAAAACCAATGTACTGTAAAAGATTTAAAGTTTTGTAACACACTCCCTTTAATGGTTTGTGCAACTTCTCTTTCATAATAAGCCATTAGTTACAGGAAGCATGAGATTATCTTCTGGTAGAAGGCATCATTCTTATGTGCAAAAAATATGTTATATTCTTTGTTAAATGTACTTGACAAATTGTTTGTTGGTGGGCCTAAGCAATGAAGGATGAGTTAGGGGAGGGAGCTCAAACACAATGACCACCCAAAAGCAGAGGAGCCAACCTCCAGCTTTGCTTTAGGTACTCCTCAGTTTCAACACCCCCTCCCCACCCCCCAGAAGTCTCCACTCAACCCAAGTGCACCTCTATCTCTGCTTGTTTCACAGCCACTGATCTCTTGTTCATCCAGGTTGCTTTGATTAACATTTTGTTTCACATTATATTAGATCGCACAGAGACTCCATTAAATCCTCACTCATGCTCTTCAGAAATACAAAGCAGCTCTCTGAAACATAATGAGGAAGAGTATCACCCCCAGAGGTTTTGTGTAATGCAATAAAAATTTAACTACTAGTAATAGACCAATGTGGTATATTGCTTACAAGTTATTTTTCAGTCCCTTGAAATGAAATAAAAAACCTGCTCAGATTTTTTTTCCCTGTAAGATAAACTGTCATATCTTTTCAGCAAATTTTGCTGGTCTCTAATGCACTCTTGATACCACAAAAAGCACTCTACATACTGTCATCTGTGCTACAGTCTTGCATTTTGTGAGCTATTGTTTTGTTGTTATATAAATTCAGATTTGACAATGGTTTTAACCTCTTGTTTTGTACAACACATACTACACCATCTTCAGATTTCAGGTTTTGTCAGAGGTTTTTTCAGGTTTTGTCAGAGGATCCTAGAACCTACAGGGCTCTGTTACACCATCATGTCCTCTTCTGGTACACATTTGTTTCACAGAAAGGAAAATAGGAAAGTTCTGTAGCCCTAAGAGCCTCTTAGAGTGAGTGCCCTTGTCCTTGCAGTTCAATTATAACCATCTCTAGGTCTGACTTCGCTCTAGGTGAAGTTAACAGCAAGTTTTAAATGCCTCTTGGGAGCAAATGAACACTTCTTCCACCAAACCATCAGTTAGATACTTGGATTCCCTCAGTAAAAACAATATAGTCTGATACTAATGCAGACACTTTCATAAAAATAAAATCAATAAAATTACACATGCATTTGGGGTTTAAATGCTTTCCTGACCTCCTGCAGAGCTCCTGCATAAAAGATACAGATAGGCTTATATGCCAGCAAGCTCAACCTCCCCTGTTACTGTAAAGTTCTTTAGCAGTATAGAGTAGGGCATGCAATGGGGTGCTGTAAGGAAATGATACATTTATATCACCAACTGCTGGAAAATCCCATGGGAACCATGACTAAAAATGAGACTCATGATTCAATCAACAATTTGAAAACTTCATGAGCATTTTCTTTCTAGTCTCAGATCACCTATGTATCCTGTGGTAATTTCTATGACACATATCACAGCAGTAGTTTCCAGAAGTAACAGAAAAAATTATTCTCCTAACAATGTCTACATTAACAAGATGCATGCCACATGACCAACACTTGAGACGCATTTAAGTTTAACGAGACCTATTGAAATTAATTTCAGCTTTTCTGGATGCAAGACGAAGACCAGTATGTTCATGAATATCAATCACAGTGCTTACAAGGTACTTTGTTGCTACCAGCCAAACCTGCTTATTTCTGCTAGCTCCTTCCTCTTGCAGCCCATGACACACAGCCTTGTCAACTCCCACTGTTCTCTTTCCCAGAAGACTTTAGAGCTGCAGTGACATAGGAGACAGATTCTACTGTCAAGTTCAGCCTCATTTTAAGTTTCTAGCCCACATGACCACAGAAGGAAACAATTCCTTAGACTGGACAAAGGTATGAACAAAGCATTCTGGTTGGTCCATATGTGTAAGTCACCGTGGGTTGACAGGGGCTTCATTCTGGCAGCAGCAAGCACCAGCAGCTACTCTCAAAAATCAGAAGCTGGACTGTTACTACGACCTCTTTGGATCTCCTCAATAGGTGTCACACCTCCAGGACCAGATGCAGTCCAACCCTATGTGTTACAGCTCAGAAGGAGGAAAAAAAGTTTTCAATTCACAAAAGACAGAACAATTTTATTGGCAATTAAATTTAATTTCTTAAGAGTAAGTTGTGTATATGTTTCAGGCAAAGTACCAATGTTTTCCAACACTGGAAGAGTTTGGAGATGGGGAGAGAATATAAAGGTTTTTTCCCATTTAAACCATATTCTTTCTGTAAAATAAGGGCTATCTACATTCTAGAGCCCCTCTAAGCTGCCTAGTAAACTATTCAATATATAAAGACAAATTGCTGCTTTCTGCTTACACCTGTAAAAAGGGATTAGCAGTATAGCAAAACAAAGAAAATTTTTAAATATATTGAGGGGAAAATGCTGCATGAGTATTACTTTGAATGTAAACGAGAAAGTGAGTAAAAGCCAGGTGAATAGAAATGCAAAAAAATGTTTTAAAAAGTTAAAAGCTTGTAAACCAATGCAAAAAAAAATAGGTACTGTCAAATGAAGACTGAAAAAGTTCAGGTAACAATTATTGTGATCAGGAATTGCTATTGTTTCTAATACAGATAACTGCGTTAGTACCATGAGATTTGCAGTATTTATTTCTTAACATATGACTGCTGCAGTTTCAGCTTTTGCTCTGCAGCTGTCCCGGATAGTGTCTCATACAGGCTGCCTTTGTTTTAGATATTGGGTACACAGCACAAAGTCAAAACAAGCTCCTGGGCTTTCAGACTAACCCAGCCTAGTGTAACTAACACAGCTGCATTTGCCTATGAGCTGCTTAACTGGTTATGCAGGCTTTACAATGGCTCACATAATAAAACCCTAATGTTTAAATGGTAAATATATTTCATTTTTACAACATACATATTATTTACATGTTGTACAACACTAAAAAAACTGGGGAACTTCTAACACGCTGTCTTAAATGCAATTCTTTAAGATATTTGCAGAAATACCAGTTTTGTAAACTTCTAGGCACCAGCAGTTATGTTTTTATTGAAGTACAAAGAAAATGACTGTTTATAACTGGAACACTATAACAAAATAAATTTTGTGTTGAACTTAGGTAAGCAGTAGTTTAAATAGTTTTGATTTTTGCTTTTCATCCTAAAGCTTCCACCATATATCTAGTGAGGGATGCTCACAAAAAAGAGGCCTAAAACATTATTGCTATCTGTAAACTTTGTAATTCACATTAAAAGGGTTTTCAAAGCAGTGACCTACTTAAATGCTTTTTGTGTCTTGAATTTTAATTTTTTTTTTCCTGTAACAAAGAAATATGCTGATTAAAGCTTTCTTTCAACATCTTCCATTCCTGTTAATGAAGTTTGGTTTGATTAAAACTGAGAGCAATTTTACCTCACATTCATTATTCATCCACTGATTTTTCAGGTCTGGAAGAAGAAATTGCCTATCAATCAAGAGTGATAACTTTCCAAAGCAGAATTTTACTGCCATTTTGTACATTAAGGCATATTCCATACAGGAATTTGGCTAGTAGGACACTCTCTGGGAAGTGTCAGTAGAGCTTCCTTATTGAACTGACTGAATTAAAACTGACAGCACCACTACATAAATACACTTACATCAGAATGCAAGTTAGCAAACTACAGTTCTATGACCTTAACTCTGACCAATCTCCTCAGCTGAACAGTATCTGTTGTAATGGATCAGCTGATGATTTAATTCAAATAAAAGGCCTTTGTTCCTTTCTTCCCTTGCTTTGTCCACACTGACACCACTGTCCAGAAAAGCTCTAGAAGCAGCCCACAGAAGCTAAGAGATACAGTATGACAGAAAGCAAGTAATCACTCCTGTCACACATTTTTGTTGTCTGTGACATACTTTTCTTTAAATCCATTTCTCAGCTCCATAACATGGTCTCACCCATCTGGTCTTTTCTCTACCTTCTATCTGACATTTCTAGCCTCATCACTCATCCTCACTTTATCCTCACGCAGTTTATTGAAGATTAAGCCAAGTTAACAATAGCACCCCAAATTGTGGAACAGATTAGAAATTCAGAAGGGCTCAAGGCCAGAGAGCCATAAAACCTAAGAGTTGTTTCATGAGCAGAATTATTCACACTGAAGTAACTCCAAGTCCCAGAGTTTATGCTTCTTCCCCACAAGTGTCATGCACATGTGGTTAATAAATTAACCACGCGTACCGACCAAAGTCAATACTGCACAGATCACTGCTTTAGAAGAGTAACAGTGACTGAATCTCTGGAGACAGAAATTGTGTTTTTGTCTGAAAAGTGACAGTGTGGAGCAATGAAAAACAGTGACAGCTTATTGTGGAAGCAGAGAAGTGCTTTTCCAGGCACGAAGGCGCTGGAAGGAAGGCTCAGCTTTGGGAATGACAAGTTCCTAACATCAGCATTCTTGTGTAGTGGGGCTTTCAGCATTGGTGCTGCTGTGGGAAGCTTCCAGTATCGTGTTCGAGCATGGAAAATTCTCAATAGTGCCTTCCTTGTTGGAGGACAGACAGATGTTACTTTGGTTTCTCATGTGCCCTGTGTTGTATGAGACAGCATGATGTAACACACTATGGGTCTAGCAAAGCGTGCAAAAGCTTGCTTTTCCAGCTAGGAAAATTTAAAGATCCTAATTTCTTTCTTAAAACATTTGAAAGGCAGGTCTCATTTTTTCCCATAGCAATAATTACACTTTCTCACCCCACCTGCTTTTCCACAATAATATTCTTCATATTCTTAGAGCAGATATAAAAACAGATGCAACAGCAGACGCCTTACTGCAATTACATCACAAAATTTCCAAAGACTGTTCCAAAGTAATATTTTTCTACGAATGTGCTATATTAATGTTAAAGCAGTGAAAATGTAAATAAAACTTACCTAAAGCTTTTTTCAACCCACTCCTCTCCAATAATTGAGAGAGAGTGTCTAGGTCAGTCTAGCATACGAGGAATGTTTTAAACCACAGATACCAATGGTTGTACTACGATTCACTCAGTACCTACCACTATTGTAAAATTCTACCATCTTTTACAAAATTGCTTTAGTAACCTGAACACATTTCTCAAGTAGCTTTTATACAGAGGTGGTTCACCACAAAGTAAATGAGTGACCCATCTGGCAGCTTAACTCATGAAATAGTGCTTTTCATGCAAAATATGAAGCAAAGGCATTTTTAAAGCCGCATAATGAAACAACTCTCTGCAAAGTGGACAGATAGACCTACATAGAATTTGGCACCATAGAACTGAGAACATTAATTTGCTATGGAGAAGCAATGGAATACAGTCATAACGAGCCCAAACCAGAACATGAAACATTCCCCATGGAAATGTTTTATTTTAGGAGGTAAGGAAGACTAAGCTTTATTTGTATGCTAAACACTATCAAAAGTAATAGCCACATAAGTGAACTGATACAAGGTTTTGGAGAACTGGCTTGGGAAGGCTTTGGCATCTGCAGAGGGCATGCATAATCTGTGGGTTGCTCTGTTAATATACCTCCCAACTACCCTCTTCTGTAGCAGATTTTGGCTTTTAGGGCTGCAAGTTTGGGCAAACACACAAAACTTAAAAAGAAACATAAAAAGCAGGAATTTAGTACCACATTAGTGAATTGTTCCACATGAACCTATACTTGTCAGAGGGAAAGAAGAAAAGCTTGAAGAACTGTACCTGGTAAGTTCTTATACTCAGCAACTCTGAATGGGGGAGACTGAAGATAATGACATTGACCACTCTCACACCTGCAGCTACTCAATACTCTCACATAGCTTAGGGATTTGTTTTTCTTACCATCGAGGAAGGTTAACATGATTAAAGTTCTGCTGAAGGCACCACATCTTCAGTAAACAAAGTAATAACACGCTTCTCACTAGGGCTATAAACTACACCTGAAAAAACAAGTGTTAGAACCCACTTAGATTACTAAGAATATCTATCCAAAGTAGAGAATTAGATGAAAATAATCAGACAGAAGAAAACCAGTCAGCAAAACCAGTATAATGTAGTCTGGGGTGACATCGCAGTATAAGTGACTGTATGGACATGCCAGTTTTCTCCGCAAACCCAAAGGGCCAGATTTGCTGCTAGCGGTGCACTTGAAAGCATTGCAGCAAACCACGGGCGTGTTTTACATTAAAACCTCAGTTCGACCGAGATTGGGTCCCAGGCTTTCTACTGCTGCAGCCTGCACTGCACAGAGAGCACCGAGCGCGGAGAGCCGGCACCTTCCCTTCTCAGCGCCGGTGCCTCTGAGCGGGGAAACCAGCCCCTCACGGGCAGCCCGGGCTCTTCCAAACCCCTCCAGCCCGGGAGAAGGGAGCTCTCTCTGCCCAGGGATCGCTACAAGCCACACGCTCCTTCCGTGGGGAACCCGGACTGGAGCCGGGGGCGGGCACCGCCGCAGCCCCTGCTCCGCGGCGGGGCGGGCCAGCTGGGCCTCCAAGGAACGGAGCTCGCTTGGGCACCGCAACGCAACTTTCAGCCCAGCTTTACGGCCAGCCGCTGCTGCCCGCAGACGCCACGGCACGGAGGGCAGGACGGAGGGAGAGGGCGGCGCTGCCGCCTCGGCCGCCCCCGAGCCGGGCAGGCAGAGCCGAGGGGGCCGCCGCCAGCCCCGCGCCCTTTGTATTTTTAAACCACGCTGCGGCCCCCGCGCCCCGCCCAATCAGATCGGCCGCAGCCTCGCCGGCCAATGGCAGCGGCCCCCGCGGTTTTTTAAACCGTCCCTCTCCCCCAATCGCCGCCCAGCGCGCTCCGCCCAGCCCCGCCCCCGCTCCCTCACCCCAACCGGTTCCAACGGGTATAAGCGCCAACGACCCCCCGCGCTCGTCCCAGCCCGGCAGTAGCCCGGCCGTGACGCCAGAGCGGCAGGCAGCCAATCCCGCCCGGCTCCCGCGCCAGGGGGCGGGGCTGCGGGCAGTTTGAACCGGCGCGGCAGCCAATGGGCTGCGGCGGGGCGGGCCGTGGGGCGCCGCGGCTCGGGTTGCTGTGGCGGGCAGCGCCGCGGAAAACAAGAGGCGGTAAGAGCGCGGCCGGCACCACTCGGCAGCAGCGCCTGAGGCAGCAGAGCCCCGCGCCGCCCGCCCCGCTCCGCTCAGCCAGGCAAGGACCGCGCGCCCGCCGAGCGCCAGCGCGCCGGGAGGGACGGAGGGAGAGCGGGCAGGAGCGGACACCAGCGGCGGTCCCGGGCGCAGAGGCAGCGAGGGGCTCCCGCGGCGGGCAGCACGCCCGGGGCGGAGGGGAGATTCCTGGCGGGCGGGTGGGGCCGGGAGGCGGCGGCGGCTGCGGCCCCGGCGGGGAGGGCCGGGGCACGGCGGGCGGGCTGCCCGCCGCGGCGGCGGAGCGGCGCCCGGCGGCGGAAGGGGCCGCGGCCGCGGCGGGCGGCGCGGGCCGAGGGGCGGCGGGGCGGGGCCGGGCGCGCTGGGCGGGAAGGCGCCGGCGGCAGAGGCGGGAGCGCGCTGGGGGCGGCCCCGCCTCACGCCGCCTCCCCGCCCGCCTCCTCCGCAGGGACCCGCCGCCGACCTCGCCATGGGCAAAGGCGACCCCAACAAGCCGCGGGGCAAGATGTCCTCGTACGCCTACTTCGTGCAGACGTGCCGCGAGGAGCACAAGAAGAAGCACCCGGACTCGTCCGTCAACTTCGCGGAGTTCTCGCGGAAGTGCTCGGAGCGGTGGAAGGTGAGCGGGGCCGGGCAGGGCCGAGCCGTGCTGAGCCCTTGCCGGACCAGCCCCCGCCCCTGCTGCGGGCTGCTGGGAAAAGATCCCCGGGAGCAGCTGCTGCTTAGGCGTTAGTGGGTCAGCAGCTGCTTTATCTCATCCAGACTCTTCTTTCCCCTCCGTGTGTCCACAGACAATGTCAAGCAAGGAAAAAGGAAAATTTGAAGAAATGGCTAAAGGAGACAAAGCTCGTTATGACAGGGAGATGAAAAACTATGTTCCTCCCAAAGGTGAGAAGAAGGGAAAGAAAAAGGACCCCAACGCTCCTAAAAGACCACCGTGAGTGTTTCTATGACTCCCTCCCCCCACAGAAAAAAAAGTATTCTGATAGCTTGATACTTCACTTTAATCACTGTCTCTTGATGTAGATCTGCATTCTTCCTTTTCTGTTCTGAACACCGTCCGAAAATCAAGAATGAACATCCTGGCTTGTCTATTGGAGATACAGCAAAGAAATTAGGTGAAATGTGGTCTGAACAGTCGGCCAAAGATAAACTGCCATATGAACAGAAGGCTGCAAAACTAAAGGAGAAATATGAAAAGGTACAGTAAA